CATCTGGCTGGGGCTGCTTTGGGACTCCTTTGATGGCATGTGGTGTGATGGTCACTACGGCTGCGGTGGTGTGGAGGCAAGGGGGACCAGCCTGTGGCCGCTGGGTCCAGGTTCTTGGACAGATGAGCCACCGGGTGGCTCCATGGGCCAAGCGGTTGGGTCAGGACTCCCTTGGCTACGCCTTTATTTTCCCCCACAATCGAGGGAAATAGTTTGGTGACAATTGGACAGCCCAATGGCCAGGGCAGACAGCAGGGCCTGTTTTAGCACCTCAAATGATTGCTGATGGGTCTCTTTCCAAAGGAAGCCATTTGTCCCTTTTATAGCTTCATAGGTGATCTCTGCAAAACCTGGTATCCATAACCTGCAGAACCCCACAGTCCCCAGGAATTCCTGTACTTGGTGAGGGCTTCTTGGGGTCAGGGTCCTGAGGACAGTCTCCTTTCAGGCATCAGGGAGCCAATCCTAACCTCTTTTAGGTATCTAAGCCAGGTATTGGAGCTGTTGTCTGCACAACTGAGCCTTCTTGGCAGAGGCTCTATATCCCAGGTCTCCCAGTGTCTGCAGTAGACATTCTGTGCCAACCATACAGGCCTCCTGACTGTCTGCTGCCACAAGTATGTCATCTACATACTGGAAGAAAGTAAGGTGGGGGTGCTGGGTACGGTATTCAATCAGGTCTTGCTGTAGCGCTTCATCAAAGACGGTCAGCTAATTTCTGAATCCTTGGGGAATCCTGGTCTGTGTCAATTCGTCTGTTAAGCCCTCTGTCATGCCATTCAAAGGCAAAATAGTCCTGGCTTTTGAAGGCTCGGGGAAGGCTGAAGAAAGCATCTTTCAAATCCAGGACCGTGTACCGTTGATATTCGGGGGGAGCACACTTAGTGAGGTATAAGGATTGGGCACTGTTGGGCTGGATGTCCATCACCCGCTTATTTACTTCCCACAGATCCTGCACTGGCCTGTAAGCATTGGAGTGAGGTTTCTTCACTGGCAGTAGGGGAGCGTTCCAGGCTGATTGACATGGCCTTAGGACTCCGGAATCTAACAGTCTCCTGATGCGAAGAGTGATGGCTGATCTACCTTCCAGGGACATCGGATGTTGGCGAATCCTAGCTGGATCAGCCCCTGGTTTAAGTTCCACAAAGATTGGGGGCCACTGTTTAGCCAACCTTAGCCCTCCTTTTTCAGCCCATGCTGAGGGAAATTTCGATGTTCGAGTCTGGCGTCAAGGCAGGTTCATATAGATCATACTCATCCATTAATGTGGTGGTCATCACATGGATAGACTCCCCTGTCTTATCCAGTATTGGGGTGCCCTCTGGTGAGAAGTCATACCATAAAAGAAGGGGATGCCCAGCCCATTCCTAAGCCCATCGTTCTTCGGGCAGTCCATGGGTATTGTTTCATTCCAGTGGCCTCTTGTACCCATGATGTCCTCTGGGTCTGTGGTGGCCACCAACAGGATCTTCGCCAAGTCCTTGTTTTGTCTTTTCTCTGCTTGGCTCTGCTTTTCGTCTGCACTGCCCCTATTATTGTGCACTTTCTCTGCCGCAGTTATTAAATCTCTCAGACTCTTTTGTCCACTCTTCCTACCCTTTAGAGCTTTTTCTTTAGATCCGGTGCAGACTCATGAACCAGAGCTATGGCTCCTGCAGCTATATTATCTTTAGCCTCTGGATCAAGTGGAGTGTACCTATGGAAGGCATCCATCGTTCGCTCTAGGTGTGCTGCTGGGCTTTCATCTCATCCCTGAATACTATCATATACCCTTGACAAATTAGTTTCTGAGACCTGCCAGTAGAGCCTGGCGGTGGGCCGGAAGCTTCCCCTTACCTTTAGTGGTGTCGTAATCCCAGTTAGGCCTGGTCAGCGGAAAACTGGCATTGATTTGGGCCTGAACGGTAGTAGGGACTCCTCTGGTGCCAGTAACCGATTTCCTGGCCTCTGTCTGCCCTTCCTTCTGTGGTAAACAACGTGTAACAACTGCTGGCCCTCATCCCGGGTGGGCTGATGAGTAAACAAGACAGTTTCCAACAGACTGATGAGATCCTTAGGATTCTCAGAGAAGGGGGCATTTTGGGTTCTCCAATTATAAAGGTTGCTGGTAGCGAACCGCCAATAATGATGATTCTGATTGCTATTTACATCTGTAGGACCAGCAACTCTTAGGGATAGGACAGTAGAGTCTGGTTGCCCTTTTACTCCTGGTCCCCTGAGCTGGTCCTGAAAACATCTGTGTTGAGTCTGACGGTGGTGGTGGTTGATATGCCAGGGAAGGTGGGGTGACAGAGGCAGTGGAGTGCCTGATTCCTCCAGAGGAGGTTCTGTCTGCTGAGGAAGAGGTGGATAGGGAGGGGAAGGAGAGAGTAAGTCTTCTTCTGTACCACCTTGTAAAACGGGGTATGGTGCTGGTGCTGATGGTTTGGACCCAGATTTAAGTGGATTAAGCAGTGTCTGGGTTGTTGTTTTCCTTTCTGTTGTTTTCAGAAAAGATTGAATTCAAGAGCGAGGGTTGCTAACTAGATCTCTCCAGACCACAATGTATGGCACTTGATCTGGGTGTCTGACAAGTGAACAAAGGATCTTCCTTTCAACCACAAGAATGACAGTGGAATCAAGAGTTCCCTCCCGAGGTCAGCCCACGTTGAAGGTGGGCCATTCAGACCTGCAAAAAATCGTTAGTCTGTCCTTCCTAACATTGACAGAGAGGTTATCGGCTCGCATTTTGACCTCTCCAAAGTGATCAAGGATTAAGTCCAGGGGTGTAGAGAGGGTCTGTTCCATGCTGTCCATCTCAGTCACAAGGAAGTAGACAAAGATGGAATGGCAAGCCAGAGAGACACACAGAAAGCCATGCAACAAATCCTCCACTAGTGCAAGAGAAAAACCCGAAGTAGGATTGTGGCAAATTGCCACATTGTGGGAGCGACCCTCTCTGTCCTTCCTGACAGATCAGAAAAGTTTGGGGCCCTCTGTCCCAGCCACGAGGATCTGGTGATGGTTGTCCAGAGCGTCTGCCCTAACCATTCCCAACCACATAGATTACAGACTTTGTCTCGAGACCCAAAACAGAAATCTAGAGTTCGCTGAGACAGATACAGACAAGACATTTACTGGCCGATCCTTGACCCTTTGGTTTGGGGGTCCTGGGGATCTTGGGAATCCCGAACGAGCCCCCAAGATATTGTGCCTGTTCTGTGAGATCCCAACGACCACTAAGGGGCTGATTCCGATGCAAATACACAAGGGTCTTTATTATAATCTCATGCTTGGGGCCCCACTGTCACCAAAGAAGCAGATCTGGAGTGAGAGGCCCTGAACTCAGGGGAAGATGGTTTTTTTGTGTGTTACAGAAAGCAAGCAAGGGGTTTCCAGCCTGGCAAGCATCTAATTGGTTAACACACAAAGAGGAACATTGCCTTTTAAACTGATTGGTCCAAGTCAGATGTCTAACCATAAATGGCTAACTTTAGGAAATCTAAAACAACATCTGGAACTCCAGTACTTTCTTGCCTCCTACTGATTGGTTGTTGCTAGGGAGGTTTCTCTATATTTGTGCCAAGTGTACATTTTTTTTTTTTTTTCTGAGAATAAGAGTTCAGGGTTAGGTCAGCTTAATACAAAATGGAAGTTTTACATAAAACAGAGTTGCTCTGGTCCTTCAGTATATCTCCACTTCTCTGTGTATTCTCAGCAACAGTCCAGAGGGAAGCCGGGAACACCAGCGCTTAGTCTTCCTTCAAGTCTTTCCTAGTTTATTCCCTCAACCTACCACCTTTTGATCTTGGTACGCATTCCATTTTGTTTTCTAAAGAGCATTCATAATATTTTTTTAAAGGAAAGAAACGAGAAGGAAGCAGTGCTGAAAGCATGCTTCCTGGTTTGGGGCTTTTCTTTTTTTTGGCTTTTTGAGACAGGGTTTCTCTGTGTAGCCCTGGGTGTCCTGGAACTCATTCCCTAGACTGTTGTAACCTGCTTAAATTCTATCGCCCCTCTGTTGAGACCTACTTTAGCTCTATGCATAACTGTGGCTCCTCTGTTAGCATATGCTTTAACCTTTAACACATCAAAAGCCAGTTTACCTCCAAGTATGCCGCTATGGTTTCACTTCCCAAAGTTTGTGTACTTTGTTACCTGGACACCCTATGAATTACCCCAACTGCATAACCAATCAAATTAAAGTCAGTTAGAAACTCTTTGTCTAGCTAGTCAAAATGATGTAATGTTGCTTCCTACACCTGGATACTTGGTTGTGTTTTTGTTACCTGGTTGTTATCTGGATGCAGTTTGTTTCCTACACCTGGTTACAGTTTTGTTACCTAATTGTTAGCTGGTTATGGTTTTCTGTATTAAAAAAAAAAAACAAAAAACCAAAAAACACCTGCTTTACGAGTAGACAGATGTCATAGTCTGGCTCTCCAGTCCTGACTATGGCTGTAGCTGGTCAGTTTTTGTTTAGTGTTCAATAAACCTCCGTTGAGTTCAGTCTGGCGTCTGAGCGGTCAGTGAGCAGCTATTCCTGGACCCTTAACATAGACCGGGCTGGCTTTGAACGCAGAGATCCGCCTGCCTGCCTGAGTGCTGGGATTAAAGGTGTGCGGTGGCCACCGCCACCACCAGACTTGGATTTTTCCTTTTTATTCCTGCCAAGCCACATGCTTGTTAGAGAAGGAAACATGACAGTTCAGATGCCCTCAGACAACGGCTTCCCAAGCCTTTGGGGGTGGGGGGAGGGGTTATCACAATTTAGGAATCCTTTCTATATCCCCGTCTCCTTGCTCTCAATCATGAATTTATACTCACTCAGATACAAACTATCCCAAAAGAAACCCATTTTCATTTTAAATGTAGACTCTTACTCGTTTTCTTTTTAATACATGGGTTTGGGCCCAGAAGTCCTAAAAAGGGATAAACTGTTTCACTAAAATAGATGAATGGCTAGAAGGAGTACAGAGTAAAAGAAACAGAGCAGCAGAGTACACCAGGAAGAGTCTTACAAAAGGCGGTCAGCTTCCCTCCAACTGGAGATGAGTCAAGCTGTTCGCTCCCGGAGACAGGGTTCTGCAGTGTGAAGCCAGCGGCTCCTCTCAGTCTGGGTATATATAGTACTAGTGCCAGGGGGTGGGCAGAACATATCTAAGGAGTCATTCACCTCTTCCCTGAGCATGACTGTGTCAAATATTAACCACCCGGTGGGCCAGACATTTGTTCAGCGACGATAATGTTTGCTAGAGGTGGCCTTTTGTTCCTAGGCTGCCTCTTTCTTGATGGGCATGTTCCGTATGCTTGCTCAGGGTGGGACTGAGATCTCACTGTTCATATGTCATAAAGTAGTAAAAACCATGTTATCTCTGACCGGAAAGCCAACTTCAAAAACTACTTTGGAAGCCGACTAGAGGAAGGAGTGAGGTGGCTACGCCTCCACCTCTTCAAGCCCTAGGAATACACTCACAGCATTTCCTGAGCTTCCCTTCAACCTCCTGTTCTTTGAAGCACAATTGCAAAAACAGCTGTCGACATCTAAGCATCATCAGAACTATGTGAAGAAGGTACTGTGTACATCTGATGCTCTGAGTATGTGCAAAAGCCACGATCAAACAGTTGATGAGCCAGGGCGTCTGCCTCCTAATACCCAGAAAGTACAGTGAGGTAGTGAGGTAGTGAGGAAGTTTTCTAGCACTGCTGTTGCATATTCGTCTTCAGGGCTGGACAGATAGCTTAGTGGTTGGGGCACCGGCTGCACTTCTCGGTTCTCAGCACCCATATGGCAGTTCACAACCATCTGTAGCGATGCCTTCCTCTGGTCTCCCTAGTATTGCATATGCCTGGCATATGCCCAGATACCCATATGCAGAAGACAGATAAATGTGTAAAATTAAAAAAAAATGTTATACATTTGTCTCTTATGTAGGGCAAGATAGTAATATTTTAGCTCTTTGTCAACTCCTAGAATTTGCTCCATCATTTTGAATAGATATTTGTGTGTCATTTAAGCTGCACTAATTTCTAAAAAGCAAAAGTAGTGACAACTTACAGGTTGTCAGTGAAGGAGCAGAGGTGGAGGCAGGGGCAAAGCACCTCTCCTCAAATGAGAACCCTGTTGGGGATGTTTTGAGGTGAGGGGGATGTTTTGAGGTGAGTCTGGGTACAAGAACTAGAGCACCAGCTGACAGGATGGGAAGGACGGATCTGGTTTTGCTTCAGGTTGGCTTAACTGAGGAAACAGGCTGTCAGCTTTCCTTTGAGAATTAGTTGATCTGTCTCTCTGTTAGGTAGAACCTTTCCAGAGAGGAAAGGTTTGCTTACTCGGTTTCCATAGTCTTAGTGACTTGACAGGTACATCTCCTTCAGCTGACCTGGAGCCTCTAACCGTGCAAACGCTCTGGGCTACTCTTTAAAGGTCCAGAGTTGCAAGATTTAGTGGCAGTTATTCAATAAACTTGATTGCTAAGCAGAGCAATCTGGCTTTGGGAGCTGGCTGATACTTCCCATGGGGACCAGTGAGGCCATCTGGGTGTCGCAATGGACCCAGGATTGTTCTTGTCTGCAAAAAGTTGCTGAAATCAGCTGGTTCACCTTCACCAAAGAGTTATTGTTCCTGACCACAGAGTAAAATCTCTAGGAGTGTAACCTCTGTAAAAAGCACTTGGCAGGCAGAGGAAGGTGGATCTCTGTGAGTTTGAAGCCAGAGCTAGTCCTAGGACAGCCAGGGCTACACAAGAAACCCTGTCTCAACAAACAAACGTTGCCCAGAATGTACACACCCTCATGCACACTCTTCCTAAGAACAGGGCATGGCAGCACGAGGAGGAAGAGTGGGTGCCATGGGGCTCTGAAAAGGACAAACCTCAACACTTTTCAGCTTTGTTGAGACATAGACCAGCTTGAAGTTCCCCTTTGTCCTTGTCCCTTCCCTCCGGCCCCCCTCCCCTGTGGCTTCACTCCTAACCCAACTGTGAGCTGAAAGGAAATGAGGCTGTAGAGGTGAGAAGGTGATTAAGTTAGCTGTCTGTTGGCACCGGTCTTTTCTCTACCTTGCTGACTTGGTACTAGAGTCTCCTGAAAGGCAGGCTCAGGCATGCTTCTGACCAGGTGTCCATTAGACAGGTGCCAAATTTTGTTCTGCCAAATGCCAACATTTAAAGTGTTTCACAAGTACAGAGAAAGTAATAGCCCTCAGGGCTTTCAGGGTGCGGCCTCTCTCTACTGGTATCCAACTGGACCCTGAAATGCTCAGTGTGCAAACATACAGTGCATGGTGAGGCCTGTTTTAAATTAATCACACACTTCTAAGTAGATGTGGAGGGGCTGAGTTCCAGAGTCATGAAGCACTTATTTGTTAGGAGAGAGCAGCAGGTCCATTGCGACACCCTGATGGCCTCATCAGTCCCCAGGGGAAACATCAGCCAACTCCCATAGTCAGAGATAGCCTATCAGTGTAGCCCTTTTCTGATAAACAACGCAAAATAGAGGCACTTCGCCCCCACTCACAGCACACACAGAGACACGAGATCCACTAGTCTGACATACTAAGTCGCCCAAACACAGCTGCCCCTTTCTTTAGAGCTGTGTCAGAGTGTCTTTGGGAGCAGCCAAAGATCTCAGCAGTCAGGATCCTTCTCTGAAGTCACCAGCCCCTCACCTGACAACTCAGAGGATTTAGAACCTGCTCACATGCCTGACAAAAAGCCAGGACTCTGCCTCCCAAAACCCAGCTTGGCACATATTGAAACAGAAATGGCTATTTAAAAAAAAAAAGTTTTGTATTTTATTAAGATGCAAAGAATTATAGTCTATGAACAATAAATAGTCTCTCTCTCTCTCTCTCTTTCCCTCTCTCTCTCTCTCTCTCTCTCTCTCTCTCTCTCTGTGTGTGTGTGTGTGTGTGTG